ATTATTTGGTTCTTCTTTCGGTTCCACATAAAAAATACACTACTGCACACACTCAACACTTGAGGGTGAACATAGGCAAGTGAGTTTCTAGTGAAAGTAGGCCTACATCAAGGGGTTAACGCTGAATCCGTATTTTTTGCTTTGGTTATGAATCAAATAACTAAGCATCTACATGACTAAGTATTGTGGTGCTTGTTGTTTGTAGATAACATAGCTTTGATTGGATGAGACTAGAGACGACGTTAACACAAAGTTAGAACTATTGACGAGTGCTATAAAATCTAAAAGTTACAAATACATGGAATGCAATTTAATAACAATAGGAGTGGAAATGAGGAATTAAGATTAACGACCAATAAATAATTAAAATAGATTGTTTGCAATAGGAAATGTATGCAATGAGACCAATTACCGTTGATACAACGAGGTCACAATCATCACTGACCATTAAATTTGAAATCAGGTGGTTTAAAACGTGTCATTGTTTAAGCACAATGTCCAAAATAAAATTTTTCAAATGTTGTGACATATTTTTATATGTTGGATTTCATATCCAATGGCCAACGTGCTTGTGAGCTCCTTATACCAAACATAAATGGCCTCACAACATGCAGTCCCTTTTGCAATATCTTAGGTCGATAATCCATGAAAATAAAGAGATCGGGGAAAATGTTGCACATAGAAATAGAGTAGGTGGATGACGTGGGGATGGTCTTCTAAAGTTTTATGCGATTGTCGCATACTAATAAATTGAATGAAAAGTTATAGAGGACTATTGTAGGGCCAACTAAGCTTTATGAGACGACATGCTGGAGGCCAATAAATAATATATAATATAATAAGCATAACTGAGATGAGGATGTTGAGATGGATGAGTGGCAAGATAATAAATGATTGAATTCAAAATGAATACATTAGAGGGAATTTAAAGGTAGCTCTAATATGCAATAAGAGGAGGGAAAGTAGATTCAGGTAGTTTGGCTACATGTATCGTCGATCTAGAACAATACCGACCATAAGAGGTGATTTGGTTCAAGTGGAAAGCTCTAAAAAGACAAGGAGCAAGACAAAAGAACATAGATGAAAATAATGAGAAGATATATGATGACTTATGGTCGGACTAATGGTATGAGCCTTAATAGAGCAGACTAGCAGAATATGGTTTGTATAGCCAACCCTAAATAGTTTGAAGAAGGCTTGGATGATAATGATTTATGTTTTTTTATCGTTTATCACTCTAGAAATAGATAAGTAACGAGACAAAAAGTGGTAGAATTCGAAATGAATCTGTTTGGGAAAATTTAGGTGTGGCACCAATATGCGATAATATGTGAGAGAGTAGACGTAGGTGGGTTGATCATGTGCGGTGCCGACCAAGTACAACACTTGTTAGGAGGTGTGAATTAGTTCAAGTGAAATAACTGAAAAGGACAAGGGATACGCTAAAAAATATGTTATTGAAAATAGTTTGAAACAGTGGTTTAAAAAAAGGATCGATGACTCGGATTAGGCACTTCAAAAACCCACCCGAATCGGTGAATCGGCGACCCGAATTGAAAATCGATCGAATTGGTCGGATAAGCCTTAAAAAAATTTATTAAAATTCATTATAAATGTTGTTTTTAATGAATTCAATAAGAAATAGGGGTACTACATTACCATGTCATTTTTTGTTTTTATCAATTTGCGAATGTTGAGATGTTCCTTCCATGTTTGAACTTACGTTAACCATTAAATTTGCATTACATAAAAGAAAAATTATAGAATCATCATTAATAAAATATATCATCATACATAGAATGGATTAAATCGATGAAAAAATGGCTACTAAAATCTCGAATTACTGTATTATCTTTTATTTTATTTTTTCATTTTATTTTTTGATGATATTATTTTATTCCTTTAATTTTTTTTAGAAGATAAATTGTTTTTTGACAAGAAATGCTTGTTGTATTATCTTTTATTTCAAATTTTTCCTTTTATTTTTTTGGAAGATAAAACTAAAACACTTTTTTTTTTTTTCTTTTTTTTATGATATTATTTTATTCCTCTTTATTTTTTTTATGACATTATTTAATTCATTTATATTTTTTTCTTTTATTTTTTGATGATATTATTTTTTACCTTATATTTCTTTGAGAAGATAAAAATAAAATATTTTTTTCTTTTTTTTTATGACATTATTTTCTTTCACTTTTTTTTTTGTATGATATTATTTTCTTCCTTGATATTATTTGTTATGATATTATTTAAGACAAAAATAAAACACATTTTTTTTTCTTTTTTTTAATAACATTATTTTCTTCCTCTTTATTTTTTTCATGACATTATTTTCTTCATTTATATTTTTTTTCTTTTTATTTTTTTGATGATATTATTTTTTGCCTTATATTTCTTTGAGAAGATAAAAATAAAATGTTTTTTTTCCTTTTTTTATGACATTATTTTATTTCACTTTTTTTTTTTTATGACATTATTTTCTTCCTTAATATTATTTTTTATGATATTATTTGAGACAAAAATAAAACACATTTTTTTTGTGATACCATGGAGGTTAAAACTTGAGACCTCCCGTATAAAAATCCAACATGACAACCAACTCCTTGCTGCACCATATTTAGCATATTATGCTATAATAAATCAATATATTGATTTAACATCGCAACGTTGGGCATTAAGAATTGTCCCCCATCGAAGAGAGGTGGGACAAACTTTGGATATATAAATAATTGAACCATTAGCTCTTCTAAAATGATATGTTGGGATGGGAACCTCATGCACACACGAGATGTATTTACACGTGCAGAGCATAATAACATCAGCCACAACAAAGATTTGTGACTTGTGATGTAGCATAGTAACATCAGCTACAATAGATATTTGTGACTTGTGATGTCATACTAGCGAGAACAGATATTTGTGACATCCCGTTGGTTTATGATGTCATGAGAAGGGTGGTTCAATGCTTAGAACCGGTGATTTTACCCTAGAACCTGAGCGATTCTTGATTTTACACAAAAATCGGCATGGGGTCACCGATTTTGATTAATTAGAAAAAAGGGGCCTCCACTTTAACTTATCTTAAACATATATTTTTAATTTAGGTTAAGATGAGTATAAATATTAAAAAAATAAAATTTTTAGAACTCGAGTAGAAGGGTGGTTCAATGCTTAGAACCGGTGATTCTACCCTAGAAGCGGGCGATTCTCGATTTTACACAAAAATCGGCACGGGATCACCGATTTTGATTAAGTGGAAAAAAGGGGCCTCCACTTAAACCTATCTTAAAAATATATTTTTAATTAGGTTAAGATGAGTATAAATATTAAAAAAATAAAATTTGTAATATTAAAAATTTGTTTTCTTTTTTAAAATGAGTAATGATCATATAGGACCCTCTCTCACCAATGTGTGAGGAACCCCAAAGGATCAGACCAGGTAGAAGGGCGGTTCAATACTTAGAACCGGTGATTCTACCTTAGAACAGGGCGATTCTCGATTTTATACAAAAATCGGCACAGGGTCACCGATTTTGATTAATTGGAAAAAAGGCCGACTCATACGGTACATATGTGGGCTTCCACTTGAACCTATCTTAAAAATACATTTTTAATCTATGTTAAGATGAGTATAAATATTAAAAAAGTAAAAATTTTAATATTTAAAATTTGTTTTCTTTTTTAAAATGAGTAATGATCCTATAGGACCCTCCTCCACCATTGTGTGTAGGACACCAAAGGATCACCATTAACGTTAGCACATATCTCTAGAAAAGTTATCACATGGGTGTGGGACTTGACTTTTCTATAAATCCATGCCAAATTTAATGGTGATCCTTTGGGGTCCTACACACATAGGTGGGTGAGGTCCTATAAGATCATTTATCTTTAAAAAATTCACACCTTTCAAATTTATTTTAGCCATAGCTTAAATGTGGATGTTGGTGAGTTAGTTTCATTCAATTTTAAAACACAATAGACATGTCAAGGTTTCTATAAGGCCTAGGCTTTACGAAAACAAAATAAACCCTCACTTCAAATCCTCATCCAGAAACCACTTTCGGCAACAGATCTCTCCACGATGGCTGTAAAATCAATTTCTAATATCGATAATAAAATTCGAAACTTAAAAAATGGTACAGATCTTGAGGACCTATAAGTATTTATTTTCAAGGCGAAATGAACGATCTAAATAATTTGTTACAATATATACTATTTTTAGAGCTTAGAATCTTATTTTTTCCCACAACCATAATATTAAAGCTAAGATGATTGATGTAAAGGTTTTGCATGGCTTGAATTGTAATTTTTGATGAGTTATGACAGGATGCTTTACTTATTTCCATAGAGCTCCGGCCTAGCAAACCATTTTTTAATATTAAATAGTATTTTTCTAATTAATATTTTGATAAATTTTGATGAAGTTTCTATAGGGCCTAAGCTTTATGAAAACAAAATAAAGCCTCACTTCAAATCATCTTATGGAAAGCACTTTTGGCAACATAAATCTCTATGATGGATCTAAATCAATTTTCAACACTCATAATAAAGTTTGAAACTCAAAAAATTTATAGATCTTGCGGATCTATGAATACTTAATTTTAGGGTAAAATAGACAATCTAGATAATTTCTTACAATATACACGATTTTTAGAGCTTAAAATCCTAATTTTTTTCATAACTAATATGTTTTTGATGTAAAAGTTTTCCCATGCTTGAATTGTAATTTTTTTTTTAATGATTTACGAGGTGAGGCTTTATTTTGATAGGGCTGCAGCCCTATCAAACCATTTTCCTTAAAAAAATGCCGTTTGGGAGAGCGAAGCTCCATTCCAAGATTTAAAATGTTTTTGATGTAATCCCATGCTTGAATTGTAATTTTTTTTTTAATGATTTACGAGGTGAGGCTTTATTTTGATGGGGCTGCAGCCCCACGAAACCATTTTCCTTAAAACAAAGGCCGTTTGGGAGAGCAAAGCTCCATTCCAAGATTTAAAAGGATGCTTTTAAGTGAGAGAGAGAGGGAAGCTCAATTTCCTTGTTAGATCAGAGCTCGCTCAGCTTCTCTCTCTATAAAAGTCTTCCGTTACAGTCATTAATAAACGCTGTCCTCTGCAAAACCTTAATTTCTCTGCAAGACCTTCATTTATTGGTTTTGCAGAGAAAGAGCGAGAGAGAGTCAATAACCGCAGGGCGACTTCATTTTAAAGATAATTTATCGCTCCGCTCCTCTTCCGGGAACCATTAATCTTCCTTGGCAAAACCATAGTTCATTCTTTTTCACTCGCTATCAGGATTAGTATAGGGAGCTTTCTCTGAAAGCCCTAATTTGCTGCTTTACTTGTTCTCAGAATTAGGAGCTAGAAGCTTGCTTGAACATCGATTTCTCCTTAGTTTTCAGCAACTGAATTCACATTTCTTCAAATTCGATCTCATGTTAAGTTCATCAATGAAACACGAAAGGAGATGGAGATCACAGCAAAAGCCATCTTCTCATACCAGCAAATCAGCCCTAATCATGGTTCTGATCTCTTGTCTCGCCTCTCTCTATGTTGCTGGCCGGTTAGTTAGTCTTCTCCTGTAAATTTTAGGTGCTTTGATCTTTATTTTTCTTTTATTCATTTTCTTTTTTATTTTAATCTAATGTGTCTTTTTTATTCTTGATTTATTGGTTCATTGCCAAATTTATGGTGAATTTTGTTTATCAGATTGTGGCAAGATGCAGAGAATCGAGTGCTTCTCACTACTCTTCTTCAAAAGAATTCCGACCAGGTGATTCTTCACGGGCCCTCTACTTTTGACTTTTGTTATATTTTTATTTTGTTTTCATTTTTCTTACTTTTTCAGTCTGACAATTTTTTTTGATTCTTTTGGTTGTTTCTGATTGTTCAGTAAAGCTAGAAGATTTATGGTATAGGAGCTATATTTCTTTGATTTTATTAAATTCCCATTTATTAAATATGGATTTTTCTTTCTTTTTTTTATATTCCATTTATATTCGAACCAATATGTGTAATTGTTGAGTAATTTTAATGGATAGGTAAGTATGACCTGCTTTCTTTGATGGACAATCTGTCGGATCCTGAAAGAGATAATGCTATTTCCTTTGTAGATTTTTATGTATATTAGTTTATTTGGGTGTGTGACGAGATATTGAAGCTAGGAATCCACTTAGAAATGAATACCTGCATTTTGTTTTCTGATGAAGGAGTTGTATGCCTTCTTTGTGGATTTTTGGACTCTTTTATTTTTTTTTCATTTTTTTTAAGAGATTTACAGAGAAAGTCTATTTATTGTAACTTTCATGGTACTGGTACTGACACATAATGGTTTTATTATGTTATAAACGCTTTTATTTTTTTTCCTTTTTTTTTTTTTTTTTTTTTTTTTGCATTTTGATTGTTCTGGAAGCTTGATAGATACTTGTGATCTGTATCTTAGGCCCCAAAGGTGCTTACTGTTGAGGACAAGCTTTCAAGTCTTGGATGCAAGTAAGGATTCCTATGAACTAATTCTGATATTTTTTTTTGTATTTCTAATTGAAATTAAATTGCTTTTTTTAATGTAAAAATTAATGTCCAAAAACCGGATGGAGACTGTCAGATTTGAGTTTCTAGAGACCTAAAATCCTTTCTGTTTTTCTTTTTAATTGAAAATAATATCTGAAGATTGTAAGTGTCCCAAAATATTAGATCAAGGAAATTAGATGCATTGGAATATAATATCTATACATATTACCTGAACAATGCAGTTAGGCAATGATGTTCTTTTTCAGAGACTTAGCAAAGAGAATTGCGGAGATTGAGATGGAATTGACACGTGCCAGGAGCCAAGGCTACCTTAGAAATAAATTGAGGTCAAATGTGTCTTCCTCTGGTCACAGGTTTCTCTCTGTCATAGGAATTTATACTGGTTTTGGGAATCGTTTGAACAGAATAAGAATTCGGAATTCTTGGCTTCCCAAAGGTTAGTACTTGAAGCATTATGCTTTCCTTTTTATGTAAAAAATAGACCTTACAACATACATGGGGTTTTCAGCACAGCAACTATTGGTTATGTGCTTTGGTTTATTCTGGTGGTTATTTGTGCTGGTTATTTATGTCTATTTTAATTTGAAGCAGTTGTTCAATGTGTGTATTAAATTACAGGAATGTTCAGTACTATAATTTTATTCTTATCTTCCATTTTATTGTTTAGAATTCTTTTTAAATGTTCTCTATCCATCAGCTTCACGTACATGCTTGTGAAAACAGCTTGAAATGAGACAAACTCATTTGTTTTTCACTTGACATGAACTAATGGCACTATTCTGTATTAGCAAAAGAGGATAACATATAAATGAACAAAGTGGCAGCATATTACTCACTTCTTAAAAATGAATCAAATCTAGTTGGCCTTGCATGTCCCTTCTATTCTCCTTCTTATGTCAAAAGTATTAATTACTCATCAATTGCTCTGGGCATCTGTTAGGGTTCCTCTTATCAAACACAATAAGGAGCTCAATTTTACTTCCGTGGAAGAAAGGGTGAAAATTGAAACCTGGATACCTGGGCCTTATGCTCCTCATATAGGTCCAAATATTTTTTTTGAATAAGGATAACTTAAATAGGTCCAAATATTCTTTTCTTTTATATGTAAAATCATCTGAAAGTTTCATGTTCCCATTTGAAGATAAAAATAAGCAATTGGAGTCAGGGGTCTACAACTCACCTGACAAGTTTAGAATTGAACTATAAAATCATTTATTTATTTTATATAAAATTAATTAAAATATTCACGTTCTGTTTTGTAGAGAAAGTTAAAAATTCAAACGTAGGTGTCTACAGCTCTCCACTACTATATGACAGATAAAGAACATTAAAATGTAAAAACCCAAACACACATCTTAGGCAACCCTTACTCATCGGATATGAACTCCTGTTAAAGCTTTGATCTGTTTCTTTTGGAGATGGTATAAACTGTGTTGTTATATACTTGGAAATTATAAAAAAATGTATTACATACTTGCCTTCTAGTTTGGGAGGTCTAGAGAAGTTAACTATTAACTGAACGTCAGTTTTGGCAAGGATATTGAGAGCATTCTCTGTCACCATTTATGTTTAAATTACTGCTCCATTGGTCAGTTAGAATTTTGGGTCCTAGCATGTCCTCTAAGAAGCATTAATATTGTTCTTTCTGCTGATAATGTATTAGTAACTCATGGAAAGGCAGCCCCGCCCCCTCCATCACCTCCAGCATAGGCAGTGAGAGCTCCTAAATGCCTTTTGATGTACTGAATCCGCTGATTTGCTTTCAATGGATTGTTGGGTGTTAGTGATAGAGTCCTTTTCAATATAGGTTGATTAATCTAAAACTGTGGAAATAACTGCACGTATTCAATCTTTACAGCACCTGGTTGATGGAGTGCTCTGTGGCATGCTTATAAGCCATGCCCTCAACATTCACACACTCTCTCTCTCTCTCTCTCTCTTTCTCTACCTCATTTCAAGGTGTGCCTTGACAGAGAACATAAATGTGGTCATGTAATGACTTATTGTATGTTTCTAAGTTAAGTCATTGTTATGTAAGATCTTCATGTATTGTATTTACGGTAGATTAAGACTTTCAATTTGATGATCTGGTCCTGTATGAATTCCTTTTCAATCCATGTTGTTGATACTCTTGATCTTGTCATACTATCTAGGTGATGCCTTGAAGAAACTTGAGGAGAAGGGTATTATTGTTGGCTTTGTGATTGGTAGAAGGTCTGTGTTGTTCTGTGGAGAACTTGATTGTGAATTTATTTTTCTTAAGAAGTAACCCTATATTTGCAGTCTTTAACTTACATTTTCCCTTAAATATTTGGCAGTGCAAATAGAGGTGACAGCTTAGACCGTAATATTGATGATGAAAATCGTCAGACGAAAGACTTCTTGATTCTTGTAAGCAAATTATATTGGTGAGCTTCTGCAATGTTGTTTAGGTTTCATGGCTCATAGGCTTCTGTACGATCTTGAAATCAGAAAGTGATTAGTGCTGTGTTTTATTTAGAACTTACTGTAGCCATGTGTTGGTTCATGATTCTGCCTCCTTTTTGTTGTGACTCATGAAAGTTAGAGATCACTCTTGGCAACATGGATTTTTCCCCTTATGCATTGATTTAAGGTTTGATATATGACTTTAGGAATTGCAATTTTTTATTGATAATTTTGGCCCTTTCAGAAGTTTGAAGTACGGACACAAATTCACATAGTCAACGGGTGGAGCAACATATCTAAGTACCTAACCAACTAAAATGAAGTTAAATGGCCAATATATTTGGCAAATACATGGAAATTTTAGGATTCATTTCCCAAATTTCGAAAACAATTTCTCTTTGGACTTGCATAGCACCATACAATACAGTGTTTTAGAAAACGAGGCAGCGCCTAGGCGACCAAGGGGGTCCAGGCCGCCCAATGCCTAGGCAGGCGCCAAAAACCTGGGCGGCCCAGTAGAAAGAAAAATGTCTGTAGTCTAAGTGTCTAAGTCTAGTAGTATAACTATATAACATATAATCCATAATCTATATTTCCATGAATGAGGAGAATTTTGTTAGTACATAATTTATATTTTCATACATTTGCTAACACCACACAAGCATACACACAAGAGTTAGATAGTAGAAACTTGAAACCAAAAAATACGAAAAAGAAATATACAGTCTAATACTCAATAGTCAACACCAACATTCAAGTGTCTTCATTCCTTAGTCATCATTATCGTCATCAGAAAGAGTAGGGTAAGCCTCATTATATGCATCAGATTCGAGGCCATCATCATCAGAGTCATCTCCCTCTTCAACATAACGTTCGTCCTCTTCTGTTTCTTCTGAATTTGCCTCTTCCTCCTCTTCTTCTACTTCCATCTTACTCTGTGCAGATGAGGCCCTAGGAGTCTTGGCTACTCTACCTTGTGCCTCTGCACCATTTTTTTTCTTCTTGTGCTTCCCTGAACTCAAATATTGTATAACCTCCTCCCTAGTAGCCTCAAGAACATTTTTACAAGGGGCAACATCTTCCTTAATACTGGCAAGGTGTTCTTGAACGGTAAATTCTCCCATTAGTATCCTTTCCACAATAATTACACCTAATACGATTTTTGTCATTAGGATTCGGATTATGATCATACTTCCAACCCGGATCACCGCTTCTAGAAGAACCTGAAGAAGATATTTCCATAGAACAAGGCTCATTTCTTCCTTTTCTGGTTCTACTAAATTCAAATATTGTCTAATCTCATCTCGAATAGCTTCAGGAACCTTTTTGTAAGAAGCAACAATCCTTTTAATACCGACAAGGTGTATCTTGAATCGGTTAATACCCCCATTAGTATTTTTTTCTCAAAAATTATACGTTATTCAATTTTTATGGTTTGGTTTCGGGTTATAACCATACTTCCAACCTGGATCAGCTCTTCTAGCAGAACCAGAAATAGACCTATCCAAATGACAAGGATTTTGTTCCTGTTTGTGTTTTACTAAATTCATATATTGGTTAATCTTCTCTCTGATAGGTTCATGAACATTTTTACAAGGGGCAATATGCCCCTTAACACTGGCAATATATTTCTTAAACCAGTTATGCCCCTTTTTGTATCCTTTTCACAATAATTTCATCTTATGTGATTTTTATCCACAGGATCCGGGTTATATCCATATTTTCAACCCGGATCACTACTTTGACTAGACATCTCAAAATAATGTAAGTAATCTAAAAAATAAAATTTTGCACTTACTTTGATTTCACGATCTCCAAATTTCCACCTTTGAGATGTTTTCTGGTGCTAAAATATTAAAAAACACCCTCCAATAGGCTTAAAAAAACTCCAAAACTAAATTTAATCTTAATGGGTGATGTTTGGATCCATTTTTTGTAACTTTGAGAAACACTTCGATCCAATGAAAATCACAAAATCTAATGTTTTTTTTTTTTGGGTTTAGGTTTAAAATGAACCTAAAATCTACTTTTTAAAATATTAACAAATGCCATTTTCGTCTCTGGGTAGGGCACAGGCCTAGGCGGCCACCCAGGGACAGCCTGCTTAGGCTTGGGCAATGCGCTAGGACTTCTGGACAGCCTAGGCGCTGGGCAGTCGCTTTTTAAAACACTGATACACTAAGAAACATGGGCGACAAAGCATATCCCGGCCGATGACAACTCTTTGAGTGCATAATATCCATGATCGAGGATCTGGTCCATGCAAGGATGTTTAAATATCAATGAAGTGAGGCTATACACGGCTGCTCTTTGGGTTTCTTCCAATATTTTCATGATGTAATCAGGATAGAGGTAGTCAAAGCAATAGCAAACTCCATAATTATTAATGAGAAGCATGAGGGAGCTAGAAGAAATTCCCGAATTCATGAATTGGGAGTAGATTTGAACTTTCCGCTGTTGTTATACTTAGTCAAATAACCAGTTCAGTGTTTCAAAAAGCGTTAGGCGGGTCCAGTGGGGGGTCCAGGCCGCCCAATGCCTAGGCAGGTGCTTAGGTGGGTGCCTAGAACCTGGGCAGCTCAGTTGCTCAATCTTCAAACTTCCAACTCAAAGATGCTTCTAAATACTCAAAATTTTATAAAAAACCCCCTAATAACTTTGCAAAACATCAAAAAGTAAATCTAATATCAATGGGTGATGTTTTGATCAATTCACCAAAAACTAGTTTTTTGGGGCTTTCTCTCTCTAAAATTGGTTCCAACAAGTTTTAGGTTTCAAATGAACCTAAAACCCTAAATTTTGGCCTTCAAAAACAAAAAAAATGACCAAAATTGCCCCTAGTAAAAGTGATTTCCGCCCCTCGGCGGGGCGCAGGCCTTGGGCGGCTGCCCAGGGCTGGGCGTTGGGCGCCCTCCTAGGCGGGTTTCGTACCACCTAGGCGGCCGCCCAGGGATTGACCGCCAAGATTAGCCACCTAGGCCTGGGTGATGCGCCCAGGCCTTTCGGACCGCCTAGGCGGTCTGCTTTTTGTAATCACTGAACCAGTTTGATCCGATTGTAGATGAGTTTGGCACTTTGGTTAATTCTTACTTCCAAGTTTTGGTGGATTGAGAGTCTCATTTCTTGGATGTTTCTCAAAGGGCCTGCCTTATCTCTGTTTTACATTGATGTGCTGCTTGTTTGGGATAAAAATATAGGAGTCTTGTGGATCCAAAATCTTTTAGATTTTGAATATGTGTGCCTTTTAGATTTGAGGATATGTGTTAGTGATGGTGGGATTTCAAGGTATGTTGATAAGGTAGAGGATGCCTTTTCAGGTGGAGGGCTAGCCGGTTGAATGTTTGGGAAGAAAGTCTTTTCCTTGACGTTCTTAAAAATTGAAATGACAAGATGTCTGTGGAAATGATTGAGCCAAAGGCCAAGATTTTGGACACAAATGCAAAGCTGAAGACCATATTTCATTCCACTCCGTGTGAGGTAACGAGAGATGTGGAGGAGTATGAGGTAGGGGAATCTGATGAGGTTTGGATTCTAGGATGAGATTTTTGAAACGGCGGAATTGGGACACTCATTTCTTTTGTGAGGTGACTAATACATATTGAAAGTTGCTATCATATGATCATATTTAATATTTGATAGTTGATGGTGGATATGTGAGGAGCATCTGGCAATTTTAGAATGCCATTTGCTATCGTTTGCTTAATGGGAATTGGTAGAAGAGGGAGAACTAAGGAGAGTGCTGGGCTGGGAGTTTGAAATGCCATGGCTATACTCAACACACTCAATAAGATTTTTTACTAAATAACGAAATTGAAATAGTAACAAAGTAAAAGGTATCTGAATATTGATTCCATTTTTAACCTTGGGAGGACTTCTCAGTTGACTATGTCCACTTTTATCATCTACTCGGATTTTTTGTGGCTGTGAAGATGGGTATAGTTCTTTGGGGTAGCCGAAGAGAATATGGGGCCTGTAGGTTGCGGTGAGGTTATCAGAAATATTAACTAAAACATCCTTAAGTATTTTGAGGGACCTTTTGATAAAGAACTATTTTCTAAGATTGATTGCTTATATTAAAGCTTATCTCTTAAGCTGAAATTTTGATTTGACAATCTTAGGTGTGAATTACATGGTTGAGTATAGCTTTTGTTCATTTTGCATTTTGTGAACTTCTCTTAGTTACTGGAATGGTTTCTGACTCAATTATATTATCAGAAAGGAATTCTGAAATCGGTTTAACTCCAGCTATCACTTTTTGTTTTCAGGAAAGTCATGAAGAAGCCCAAGAAGAGTTGCCAAAGAAAGCAAAATTCTTCTTCAGTTCAGCTGTGGAAACTTGGGATGCTGATTTCTATGTCAAGATTGCTGACAATATTGATGTTAACCTGGGTAAAAGAATAATCTCAAACAAACTGGGTGTCATTTAATATAATCACTTTGAATTCTCTGATACTTTGTCTTTCTGGACTTTAGATAAGTTGGTTGCACTACTTGAGAGTCATCGTGGCAAATCTAGCTCTTATATGGGGTGCATGAAGTCTGGGGACGTGATAAGCGAAGAGTAAATGCCTTCTTCTTTTCTAGGCCTCACATTTAACCTTCTTAATGCAATGTAATTGATGATAATTTGATTCTCTCCTGAATTGTTTATTAATCTCATGTGAAAATGGTAAAAAACTTCATTATAGACTAGTGTGAAGGCATGGCTGCAATCATATGGTACTATCTTAGCTGTGGAAAAATGTGACTTTTAAGTTCCAATTGTTGTACTACAAACATGCCATGATTTTATAAGCACCATGCCCTTCTATGCAGAACACCAATCAATCGAGCCTGTATTGTGTGAACTTAATTAAGGCTTACACAAATTTTGATTTCAGCAATATCATCACTTCTCAAAAATTTATAGGTGCAAGATGTGAAATCTTTGGTAAGTATAGATGACAGTGTTTTAAGCCTTCTCCAGGTGAGTTGACTAGGCAAATCTCGAGTTGACTCGAAGTGTCTTTCCAGAGTCCAAGATAAAGTAAATAAAAAATTCTTAATATAGGAAACATGAGGAGAATTTTAAAAAGAAAATCATAAAAACGTCTAGGAAACTATATACAAAATGAAAAATGATCAGTAGCTTATTTGATACAAAGCTCTTTAAACTTTTGGCCAAACCCTTATTTCGATGTTCCAAATCTTGCGGATCCTACCGTTTAACTTTTCTTGTTCCAAATCTAAGCTTTGGATGTGATGGAGAACACAAAATAGGATTGTGGACAAATTATCAAGGCAAAAGTAGCTAAGATTACAAAAAAAAAGGCAAGAAAAGTGGATCGACCAAAACCTATTTTGATATTTCGGATCTCACCGATCTGAGATTTTAAGTGGTTTTTTGTTGGATCTATGCTTTGGATTTGATAGAGGATACAAACATATGGTTAGGGATGAAAAATCAGGGTAATTGGAGCTATGGATTGAAATAACCAGCATGGAAGAGGGGTCAGTTTTCTGCTCCTCCCTCCTCTCTTTGTATTTGAAGAAATGTTTGATTCCACGAGTCCTGTACTACTCGCCCGAGTCCAACAAAAAACATACTGTCACAATTAGGGCACGGGCGATTTAGTCTACGAGGGGACCCCACTTGAATAGGCATGCTGCTGGTTCTGAGTAAATGGTCTGAGTCAGAGTTGGATTTGATGAGTTTTGACACATTGATAGAATCAACTCAATGTTGTCATGTATTTCTTCGAGCGAATATATACTAGAAATAACCCCAATAACAGTAGCCGGCTATAACTTTATCTTAATACCAAATGAATGTCATTTGATCATGCACTTGAGAGAAGATCTTTCTTAAAGGTCAGATCGAGGGCTTAAAAGGAGGAAGTTACTTTATGGAAAGATACGCAGAATAGGGTTTTGGTAAGGATTTTTATTATTAATTTAAGGGTAAATTCAAAATTCCCCTTCCAAAATTATCTTTATCTTGGAATATAAATTCCAGAAAAGGTTTTCACTTTCCTCTATGCAACTTCATTTGTCTTAAACCAAAATAGTCCCAGTGAATGAGTTGGGCGCAAACCAAAATATGCCATCCTAAGACCTATTTGGCTTTTAAATAAAGAAAAAGTTTATATAAGATTGCAACCTTAAAATGTAGAATTAAGGTGTGCTTCAAAAATCCATCAAAAAAGGGTGACTTCGATGTTGGAAAACCCTCTAATTGATCATATCTACATCAAAATAAATGGATATGAAAAAAAAAAGGGATTTTGAGTCTCAAAAATTGTGCATCTTACAATGCATTGTATGGACTGTCCATTTTTAAGATTTCCATGTGTTTATAGATCTACTTGATTTGAACCATTTTTAGAGTTTAAAATTTTATAATTAGAGAAAAATAGATTTTGAAGTCAAAAAAAAAAAGTGGCAACAAATGTACCTCTTTTGACAAAATTTAGAGATGCACCTTAATTTGATTTTTTGATGTTGCAACCTTATACAAGTACACCCTTTCGATAATACCTTCATAAGTGAGTGTTTTTAACTTTTTCTTTTATGATGTGTTAGAGGAGGGAGGGAGGGATGAAAAGAAAAGAGGAAGAGGAAGAGTGACGTAAGAGTCCAACTGATCTCATGTTTTTCTCAAATTTCTTTTACATCAATAAAAAACTGGCAAAACTGCCAAACAAGCTGGAAATAGGACATATAGGCGCTATTAACTTAAATAAAAGAGAATTGAATTGTCACCCATTCCCCCTTAAGTTGGACCGTAACTGTCACCTATGCCTAGCTTGGAACAAATTGTTTGGAACAGATTTGGCCAGGGACTTTGGTGGAGATATCTATCAACTGATCCTTAGATTTTGCATATAGAGTAGACACCTGCTTACTAGTAGCCTTCTCTAAAAAAAAGTGACAGTCTACTTCAACAATGTTTAGTTTTCTCATGAAACAATAGATTGTTGGCTATATAAGATGCAACTTTCTTATCACAATAGGCTTAACAATAGTAAACCCCATCTCTCATGCAAACTGACTCGCTATACTTATTGTAGAAGCAATATCAGGCCTAGTCATGGTTAGGTAAGTCAGCCTGCCTACAATTCATTTATGCCATCCTAGATCCTCAGACAATTCTCCTTTATCAACTAATAGTTTTGTATTTGAATCCATAGGAGTATCAACTGGTTTAGCACCTAACATTTTGGTCTCTATTAACAAATCAGTCACGTACTTTCTTTGAGATAATCTAATGCCATGCTTTCATCTAGTTACATCAATTCCTAGAAAATACCTTCTCTAGGCTCAATCCTTTGTCTGAACATACTGTTTTATATGTGCCTCTTCAAATGATTGGTCTTATGTGCCTCTTCAAATAATTGGTTCCTTCTTAGCCAGTATGTAATGACAATATCATCAACATACACAACTAAGACAATTATCTTGGATTCTTGTTTTCAGAAAACGCAGAATGATTTGCATGGCTACGTAGATTCAGTAGAGAAGAGGAAGTAGTTAAGATTGACGGCCAAGAAATACCAAAAAGAGCGCACTTATGATATCTTGGGTCGATAATCTAGGAAAATAGAGAGATTGAAGAAGACGTCGCACATATAATTAGAGCTGGGTGTGTGAAATGAAGATGTGCAACTGGAGTTTTATGTGGTCGTCACATACCAATGAAGCTGAAAGGGAAGCTCTATAGGACAACTGTGAGACCAGCTTTGCTTTATGGGGCAGAATGTTGGGGAGTCAAGAAACAACATACCCATAGGATGTGTAGCCGAGATGAGGATGTTGAGATAGATGAGTGGCAAGCCATGAGGTGATATAATTCGAAATGAATATATTTAGGAGAACTTAGGTGTGGCTTCAATAGGTAATAACATGAGAGAAAGTAGACTTAGGTAGGCTGGCCATGTGTAGTGCAAACCCAGAATGGCACCTATTAGGAGGTGTAAGTTGATTCAAGTGGAAGGCTAAAAAAAGAAAAGAGGTAGGCCCAAAACGACATGGCTGGAAGTAAAGAGAAAAGATATGGGGACTTATGGGTATGACCCTTAATAGAGCAGCATGGTGGACCAGGATTCTTGTAACGGATCCCAAATAGTTGGGGAAAAGCTATGATGATGATGATGATGATGATGATGATGTTGATCTGCATGGCTATAGTGATATCCATTTGCTACAACAATTTCACTAAATTTCACACGCCTTGCACGTGGGTACCGCTTCAGAATGTAAATGGCTTTCTTCAACTTACATACCGTATCTAACTTCCCTTGAGCAACAAATCTAGGTGGTTCCTCCTTATACACCTCATCTTGTAGATTAGCATGGAGGAAGGCATTCTTCACATCAAGCTGCCAGGTGGCTAGCCCTTGTTTGCTACTATAGATAATAACTCTTTGAACTCAATTGAGTTCAATAACAACCCGCAAAAGTTTCAAAGTAATCAATGCCAAAAATTTGTTTGTACCCTTTGCAACCAACTTGGCTTTTGATATCTCGATGATGCCGTCAGGCTGATATTTTGCTACATAAACTCAATGTCAGTTTTTTTTCCCAATTGGTAGCATTCATGAGCTCCCATGTATCATTCAAGTTGGGTGCGTCCATTTCATCTATCATTGCTTTCTTCCACCCGGTATGAGAAAGTGCTTCCTAATAAGACTTAGGGATATAAATAGATGAAAGAGCTAATGCAAAACTGTGATAGGATGGAGACAAATTTGCAATGGTAACATAATGAGCAATGCGATGTAGAGTATAAGACCTTATACCTATATGGATGGCAGTGGGTACATTATCATCACTAGACACAATTTGAGTTGGAAGTAGGAAGTAGATTTGTAGGCGAAAATGATGATTGAGTGGTTGTTGAGTCGGTGGAGGATGTCCATCCTGCACTTTCCTTCTCATGTAAGCCTTTATGGACTGCTCTTGAGGGACATTATGACGTATAGAAGTAATAGGTTTACCTGTTCCAGGTAATTGTGATGAAGAAGTATCAACTGGAATAGGAAGAGGAACAATAAAAGAGGATTTTGAGGCTTCTTCCAGAGCAGGATACATGAAATTTCCATCAGGCATATGACCCACTTCTGAAATATCTGGAGTATTTTCAAAAAGGTTAATGTCAGGAGAAATAAATTTCTTTCGTAAACCAGGATGATAGCATCACCAACCTTTTTGAAAGTGTGAATGCCCTAGAAAACACACTTGACAACTTGAGGATCTAACTTATCATTACCCGTACCCAACACATAAACAAAACAAACACACCCAAACACTCATGGAGGAACAACAAACAATGGAGTATCGGGGAAGAGAATGGAGCGTGGTGTTCTTCCGTTCAAAATTGAAGGGGGAATACAATTGATGAAATTGCATGAGGTCAGCAAGGCATCTTCTTAAATAACTTTTGGAGCATGTATTCTAATTTAGCGGAGTGCGAGTTACTTTTAAGTAAATGTTGATTTTTCCTTTCAGCAATACCATTATGTTAAGGAGTACGCGCACAAGAAGGTTGATGTAAAATTCATTTTTGAGCAAAATAATTTTAAA